GACAAGATCCTGGTGTCCTATAAACGCAACTTATAATGACATTTGATGCATTTTTAATATGTATTTCAAGAGTTAGACATTCCATTAGATACTCTGTTGTGTTTGTCAAGCTATGAATTTTGCTGCATTTCAGTGTTTTATCTACATATATTGCGACTCCCCCTCCTTTTTTGTCTTCCCTATGTGTTGCATACATTTCATATCCATCAATTTTCATATCACTTGTTTTTTCATCATCAAGCCAAGTTTCTGATCTCGCAATTATTGTAAATTTATTAAATGTGGTAAAATATTCTTTGATTTTGGTGAAATTTTTATTAAGACTTCTACTATTTATGTGTATCACTGAAACCATATTTTTCAGTTCTACATTTGTTTTGAATTGTTCGTCCGTATAATACTCGGAGTTTATGATGCTGTTATTATGACTGTTGAAATTATTGTCTGGATCCAAGTTGTTATCTGGGTCGAATGTCTTGTGTTCAGCATAATCAAAGATTTTAAAGTTCATGTTTGTGTTTTATGTTTCCTATATCAATTAAGTCAAAGTTATTGTCTGGTGGTCATCAGCTCTCAGCATGTTGAAGTCGAGCCCGTTGAATTGGAGTACTGGTGCGGGGGTGGACGATGAGTTTGTCGTGCCTCAAGTAGGTAATTTCCCCTCTTTCACGTGCCGCTTTTAGTTTTGGAACCAATTCTTTTCTTTTTTGACGTACAATATCTGTATAATCTTCATTAATGTAGATTTTGGGACCTTTTAAGTATTTTGCTCTCTGTAGTATCATTGTTTTGTCCTTATATTTTTCAAATTTCACCACTACTGGCCTTGGTCGAGGTCTTCCCGATTCGTGTTTCCCCATATGGTGGGCTCTTTCCACCTCGATTGTCTCCTTTAATTGCAGTTGCTCCTTGAAGATTTTTTGCACTTTTTGCTCCGTTTCAGTCCACGTTTCTTCAATTCCATCGATTATCAAGTTATTTCTTTTAGATAGTCCCTCTAAGTTGTCCATCTTGTCGGTTAAAACCAGCATACTGTTACATACTTTATAGATTTCAGTTTGCATGGTTTTGCTATGGTCAGATCCATTCGTTTGTTGTTTTTTAATGTCATCGACCTCCTTTTGGGTGAAATTCAGACTAGTTTTCAGTTCTTGTACTTCCCTGGAAAAGTCCAGTATCATCTTTACAAATCCTTTGTAGTGATCCTGTTGTTGCTGCATGAGTGCTGTGAACAGTTCTTTTTGTTGGATGAGTAGTTCGTTGACTTGCGTAAGGGTCATTAATTCTTCATCGTGTTTAATATCTTGTCCCCGTTTAGGCGGCATTTTTCGGGTTTCGTTGCTAGCCGGCTGTCAGCTGGTTGATGACATGTGCTGTGGTCTTTCTGCCAACCCGGATGATGGTGACGTAGCAGTGGGCCTGTGGCCTCCCCGGACAACACCGCCGCGGTGTTCAAGTTTTCTGCCGCTGCTGCCGGGTTAACTGTTCGATAGGCTGGCCTCAAGTGGTGGTGGCTCCAGCTGCTAGTGCCATTCCCAAAGGATCGACCGCCACTGGAGCTCCGAAGAGTCCTCTCGCTCAATCACGGCAGTTGGCTATCGCTTGCTCACGCTGCCTCGGTGGTCGAGTGTGTTGTGCCGCCGCCGCCCTCGCCGCCATCGCCGCCAGACTCACCGATTGGCCGGTTGGTTTTTTGGGGTGGATTTTTCTGCTTATGTCTCACCAATGGGTCGACCGCCGCTGGCCCCTCAGGTGGCTGTCGCTCGCTCGCTCCCCCTGGCTGTCGCTCGCTCGCTCCCACTGGCTGTCCATTGTTACTATAACCGTTTTTAACATTGAAGAATGACGTTATAACAGCTTGAATTGGAATCAAATGAACACAAAGAAAACAGTATTTTATCATCTTTCATATTTATTGTTTCATTGTCGTCCTGCATTCATGCGTCACAAATTCGCTTGTCTCTCATCGAAACACAAGGCAATTGGCTAGCTGTTGCTGCTTGTTTGTTTGTTTGTTTGTTTGTTTGTTTGTTTGTGTTGCACATGAATCAGCTCTGTTGTCTTGATTGTCTCCCCTGGTCTCTGGGTTTCGTGACGTCTGGGTAGTCAGGTCGGGCTTTCCATCTTTCCCAGAGTTTGAGGGCCAGTCCCGGGTCGGAGGTCAGGATATCTAATGGCACTTTCTCAGTTGTCCTGTGAATGATTGGGCAACTCTGCATCATGTGTTCAGCTGTTTCATCCCCAAATCCACATTTTCTGCAGACAGTGTCCTCTGCGCGTACGATTTTATGGAGCCAATATTTCAGCTCCGGGTGGTGTCTGCTGTGAAGTCGGCGTAATCCATGTGTTACAATTTCTACAATTTTTGTAGATTTTTGTGTATTGTCATCTTGAAATCAAAGACAAAGCATAAAAATTGTGTGATATGAAATATTCCAATTCATGTTTTATTTATATAGATTTATATTTATGTTTTGGTCATAGCACAATACCGCTTTTATTGTCCATAGAGGGCAAAAATACAAAGAAAAGATAAGAACTATATGTGTATGTATAGCACTGATGCCACTGAACATGTCGAGTGGTTGAAAGTAAAATAAATATTCAGGAATAATACTTTTACAATTTTTGTAAAATTGTATGTTGCGTTATATAAACTTATTTACATCGACTGCAGCATATGGGTTAAGGTCGTTTGCTCCAGGCTTGATAATGCTGCTTCTCTATTGGTCGATACCTTCTCTCCTCTCTCCCCGTACACCTGCCTCAACCTAACGTGTTGGATGGGGGGGCCTTTGGTAGCTCGTCTGATGGCTGCCTTGGCAGTGTCATAGTGGATGTTGACTTTGGCCTGCTCAAGGGTCGTGCCTTTTGGCGGCTTGGTCGACTAGTTCGTTCCCTGGGATAGTAGATAGTGGCTGGGGCACCAAGTGAAAGTGATGCGGCAACCACGTTGGTGCATTTTCGCCAGGGTTTGGAGGATTTCGGCTTCGTCCCTGTTGAGAGAGACGTTGGATGGATGGAGGTTTTGGAGTTTCAGGATACACGACTGGCTATCGGTCACTAGGGGAACTTCTTTCCAATCCGGTTGCTGAAGCACAAGTTGAAGAGCTGCGTTAATTGCTTTCTCTTCCGCCTGGAATGAAGAACTCCATCTACCGGCCTGATATGCAAAGGAATGGTGGACCGTTGGATCACTTGGTGGGCCAGTTGTGGTTATTACGCCACTTCCGCCTGTAGTGGTACCCTTCCTGCGCCGAGCCGTCTGTGTAGATTGTGACGTCAAAGCCTTCGTGGTTCTCCTCTAAGCGCGCAAGATGGAATTCTCTATCGGCATTGGCACTGGACTTCTTTTGAAAGTCTTGGTCAAATTGGTAGCCCTGCAAGTGGAGGACAGTGGCTGTGTAGGAGCATAATTATACAGCAGGCTCCGCCTGGAGGACGCCCAGCAGCAGCAGCAGCAGCAGCAGCATCAGGCACGCAGCAGCAGCAGCACCCCAGCAGCAGCAGCAGCAGCAGCCCAGCAGCAGCAGACTCCATCCTCAAACGACCAGAGAGCCAACCTGCCAGCGGTGTCGGGCGCATGCTCCATCCGGAGTACCGAATGGGCTTTCAAATACACACGAATCAGCATCAGCAATCAGCAATCAGCTGTTGCTGCTCCCTAGTGGTATGGGAGGGTACGACATGATTACTTTCTGGGCGAAAGACCGCACAGGCATACAAATTGGATATTTTCCCGCGGCACACCTGACAATGTCACACACTGGTGTGCTGCGGCACACGGGTTGAAAAACACTGGGTTAGTGTATGAATAACAAAATACAGTAAACATATACATGTAGTACTGTATATGTTGCTCTATGTGACTCGCTATTGTTTTGCTGACTTTCGCTGCTTCTCGCGGACCTTTTGCGGACTTAAATTTTATTTTATTTTATTTTTATTTTTTTATGAATATCTTTGAAAAAATTCATGATGCACTGAAGCCGCGATAAACGAACCGCGAAATAGCGAGGGATCACTGTATATAAAGATATAAAGATGTCAGCAAGCGCGCTACGAAGGCGTGTACAAAACTGAGCCGCTTGTATACCTCACGGGACTACGTCAAGATTCCGGGAATGACATCAGGATTCCTTGTTCGCCCAATCCTGAGGACAGAATGTCAAATTCACTTGCAGTGCAGTGTTTGACCTGATGATGGCGTCACACAAAGTTTTGCCGCAAATTCAAGATTTCAATAAACATGCACTAAAATGTCAAATTAATGACCAGGATGCGGACAGCATGAGTAGACACCAGTTCAGGAAAAAAAAAAGTTGATCTGGGAATCAGAACCCCTTTAAGAAAGCCAATTTGAGCAAGACAAAGACTATGAGCATATGATTGGAAGGGAAATGAGGGAAAAATAGGGGAATAAGTTGAACGTTGAATAAAATGATGAATTTTAACCTGAAAGAAGACACCAAGCCAGCTAAGCTAGCAGGTGTGAGGTAGCGAAAATGAAAAGAGAGCTTACTGCTGAAGAGTCAGCCTAGTTGACAGGTGCCACAGTGGAAGCCAAGCTAGCAATGTGTCCAATCCAAGAAGGAAAAGAAACGCAACGACCTTTTCAGATCAGTTATTTTAACATTTGATTAATCCGTTGATGATTGCTCCAATTAATCGATGAATGGGATTTTACATTTTTTTTAAATATCCATCTCTGAATAAGCAATAAAAAAGGATGTGATTTCAAATTGGCATGCAGAAAGTTGTACAAAGGTTACACAGAGCTCTTGAAGTCAAAAATGATATATTTTTTTAAGGGTAAAAGTTGAGCTCAAAATCCAATTGGACATGGACCGACACACATACAGAAGCTGCTAAAAATTTGCTTTTGTCATCCTCCGTCACTATACTATCTGTCTCAGTCTTAACTGCCACATCAAGATTTGCAGCCATTTTTCTCACGCAGCTTACCAGCTACCCTAATGAGGGCGAATGCTATTGAACATGAACGAAACTGTCTTCTGTGTCCTCTCCTTCCCGCATTCAGGTGAGCGTTCCTGTGAAGTTCAATGGCGCATCAGGCATTCAGGTGCGCACCCCTCCCAACCTGGCAGACCTAGCGTCCTATACCTCCCTCAAGTTCTACATCACGTTGCCCGAAGCAGCGCGCTCACGCCGACAGGACGATGGCGCCAAGCAGTTTGTCTTCTACCTCGGCAACAAAGATGTAAGCGTCTCCATGAGAACACACCCGTGCTCTGATTTTATATTGTGCCCAGAGACACTTTAGCCCCTTCACGCTGCTAGTCAAAACCTTTTTCCTGTCTTTCTTCGGTGTCACTGTTGTTCTATGTGGAATGTTCCGAGGTGATATTAGTTTGGGATTTTTCATTGAATTTGTTTTCATTTCATTTTGACTTTTGTTTTCTAATCCACTTAGTTTTAATTAGATTTGAGTGGATTTTCCGGTTGTTTTGTTTTTAAGCACTTACGTAGTTTAGCATTCCTTTAAGTTAACGGTAGTTTTTTTTAAATGTGGGATATTTGTTCAGTGCAACATTAAAAAAGGTCACAATATGTATTGTTATAAAAACTCAACAAAAAATACCAATTTAATTTACCGATTTAAAAAATGTATCGTGTTGCCTTGAGATAAGAGTGAGCCAACTTTAGAATTGTTTTGCTTTTTCTTTCAAGTGCTAACTTGAGATACAAGTGCAGTGTGGTGGAAGGAAACTCAATTCAACTCACTTTATAGTGAGCAGGAATTTGATAAATTGTGAACAATTCAGCAAAAAAAGCGGCTTCAAGCTGTTTAATGCCACTCCCACTTGAATGCACTGTCAAACGACACATTGATTATGCAGGGGTGTCAGACTCATGTTTGTCACGGGCCACTTTGTTTCCAGCTACCCTCAGATGACTGTTATGACAGTGATCGTCTCATCACATTATTACATGTACACAAATTGATGAATGACTACTTTTGAAATCAGCAGAGGTGGTAGCTTCAGAAAATTTTGCCGGTTTGTCATTTGCCAACCCATCTGTCATCGTCAATTCATCATGATTACTTCAAGCCGAACCAAACTGTAATTGTCAGTCCATCATCGTTATTTTAATCGGCTCCGCTAAATTACAATTTGTCACCACTATTTTAGGATTGTCACTAAAAAAAACTATTTACAAGGGTAACAGCAAACAATTTTATTCATTTTGAGACCACTTTACACACCCAAAATATCTAAACTAGTTCTCCTTCCAAAACTGCCACTTGTAGCTGGTATAACCCGACAGGGACATAGGCACACCAGCTTTTGGAAGTCAGCATGTCACCGGCTGTGGAGAACATTCTCTCCACGGCAGCAGAGCTAGAGAGGGTCTTATTTGGCTAATAAGCCCTCCCATGTCAATATATATAATTTTGTCATTTTGAGTCGGCAGCTAGTGGCAAAATGGCTGCCCCCTGAATGAATGAATGGGTGCATTTTGCTGCTTAATTCAAATTCCACAATTTCAGCTGTCTTATGATAGCTTGAGACGTTACACTAAACTGATTTCATCAACTGTGATAATCAGATAGTGGGATCCATGTTGCTTTGTTACAACCTGCCCCTCTGGGGTCTGTGAAAATGGAACTGATCCACCAATTTTGCGAGCTCTTTGTAAGGACTGTCCACTTTGAGGGTTGGCATTGTGTCTGCATGGTGCTTTTGTTCCGCATGACCGATAAATGTTGTGCCATGGCTCTGGTGCGCATGAAAAGAGTCAATCGTGTTGACCGCTCGTCTTTTTAGTCCTCGAAGGACTTCCTGGGAATGGCGCTGGAGGGGAAGAGGCTGCGCTGGTACTTCAACATCGGAGGTGAAACGGCAGATGTGTTGATGTCTGAGGAGGTCCAGTCCAATGGCAATTTTAACAGTGTGGTCCTGGAGAGGTAGGGTACGGCCCACATGTAACGTGTATGACTTTGAATTGTTTCATACGCTGTGTTTTTGTGTTGAAGGATCCTGCAGTATGGTCAAATGTCCATGTCTTCGGAGGCTTCTGAAGGCGAGCAGAGGGTCACCAAAGCCTACGTGGAGGCGGGAGGAGATCAAGGGCTTCTCAATCTTTTGACCAGTGACACCGTCTTCTATGTGGGGGGATACCCCACTACTTTTAAGGTAGACATATCCACCACCTTAAAAAAAGGAAACCAAAAATGCGTGTCATTGCGCTAACAATAGACGAGAACAGTGTTTTCAAACAATACATAGAGTGCTGTGAGAAAATATTTGCGCTCTTTATTTTTTTTTTTTGCTTAAATTGCCCACTCAAATATTTAATCCTGTAGTCACGGCTCACCTGTTTTCTGAGTTTGATCATGTGTCGTTTGCAAGCTGAGCCATGCTTGGTCGTTACCTGAGCAAATGTGATGTCATTTTGAGTCGACAGCAAGTGGCAAAATGGCCGCTTCCTGAGATGAGTAAAAATGGGTCAGACTTTGCCGCTTAATTTATATTCCACAAACGCAGTATGAATTAGAGTACCGTGTTACACTAGTGGGGCCGCATAGAGCATATTATTGTCGAACATTTTTGACAGGACTTCCAAATTTGTAAATCAAATCACCATGTAAAAACAGCTTTTTTGTCTTCTCACACTCTTTGTCTGATACACTTGTATGATGATGTTAAACTATGCCAAAAGAATTTGAGAAGACGTCAAATGCTTTTTCATGGCACGGTACATAATATTAACAATGCTTTGTAATTGTTTTGCGAGGTGGTAGTTGGAGGACCTCAAAAAACAGGGAGAGGCAGGGTTGGCTGACAGAGATGTATTTAACAAAAAAAATACAAACAGGAGTACACTGGAAAAAAACTCACTCAAATACTCAAAGTCCAGAAAACCACAGGAACCAAAGCAGCCAAAAACCTGTGACAGAAAACAAAACATGACAGGAGCACACAGACACTCATACACTCACAACAACGAGTGACAGAACTCATGGAACTACAGGTAAATGCAAGCAAAGTGACGAGACAATGAGACACACCTGGACAAGACACAAAGAGTTGAGGGAGCTGATTGGTTAAACACAAGGGACACTGATGACGAGAACAGGTGGCAACAAAAAAAGGCACAGGAGGGAACAAAACCAAACGTGACCTAAAAAGAAACATAACAGTAATTATAGACAGTAACTGTAAGGGAAGCTAGGACACATCCTTGTGGTGGAAAGCTAGATTACCTTTTAGACCAGCAGCCATGACGAACACGAAATTTAATTTAATTTACATGTCACCTACTTTTGTCATTATATTGCTCGAAGGGCACACAGCCAGGGGACGCACGCCATGAATAATTTTTACACCAGCAACCAGGAGGAACAAACAATGACTTTTTTAGATGACTCCTATGTGAGGCCATGATTAACTCTTTCGTCGTTATGACTGAGATTCCTTCACAGTGTTTGTCCTCCCCTCGCAGCCCCCTCCCCCGCTAGCTCTGCCCAGCTTTAGAGGCTGCATGGAGTTGGACACTCTCAATGAGGAAGTGCTCAGCTTGTATAACTTTGAGGAAATCTTCCAGGTGAACACCACGCAAGAGAAGCCATGCGGCAGGTGAGGGCCTGCACCCGTCCATTTCTCTGACTACCTGTGCCCGGGTGTTGATGCGTGCTTGTTGATAATGCCGTAAAAAGGTCCAAGCCAACGCTAACACAGGCCTGGGTGAACGACGCCGCTTATTTCGACGGCACCGGCTTCGCCGAGATCTCCTTCAGCGATGAGTCAGCGCGCATGCAGCGCTTCGAGCAGGAAGTCAAGCTGATCTCCCACAAAGGGATTTTGTTGCTGCTTCAAAACAAAGTATGAGTCCATCAGATGACTTTCAATGCCATGACGACGTGCTGAACGCCTGCATTTTCTCAATCAGGACCAGTTCCTGTGTCTGGCCGTGGTCCGAGGCCACTTGAAGGCTTTCTTCCAGTTAAGCGGTGAGATGGAGGAGTTCCAGCCCAAGGATCCCACTTCCCCGCTCCTGAGGGTCAGCGACGCCAGTCCCAATGTGGTATATATACTTTTACAGTATTTCTTTGGTGCTCATTCACCGACCTCATGGAAGACTTTTGGCACATCTGGACAAGGTTTATGATTAATTTATATATAGATGTCTTTTTACTGTAACTGAATATTGAACAGATTTTTTTTCCACTTTTTATTTCCTAATTATAATAACGTACCAGGGCTGCACAATGGCAGCTTATTAAAACAAAATAATGTACTGTTTTATAAAAATTTATTAAATTCATATTTTATACAATTGACTTGCATGGCTGTGCCCTGCGACTGACTGCCGACCTGTTTGGGGTGCAGTTCGCCTTCCGCCCAAATTTAGCTTGGACAGGCTCCACCACACCCCGCAACCCTCTTCAGAACAAACGGATGGATGGAGGGAGTTGCATGGTCCAATTGAAAAATTAATTGGGCCACCTCTTGACTTGCGGTGTCAGATGTGTGAGTGGCAAATTTAGCACACTTCTCTGGGGGCAGCGGTCCAGTGCCCAATCTTTTTTTTGTACTGTGGGCCGCTAGAACATATTTTGACAGACCATTGTAGCCGTGGCACAGCGACACGGAGAAACAGTTTTGCCGCTGGCTCTCCTACGACCCGTTTGGCCACTGTCTAAAGGCGAATATAGCTGTTCGACAAAAACAGTTGTTCATACACGATACAACTCACCGCAAGGGTGCATAGGCCCAAACGACAGTCAGGACCTGTCCCCCCACCCAAAGGCGGAATGAAAGTGAACCCCGATGTAAAGACGCCAAGCCAGTAACCAATAAGTATGCCCATACCTGGTCAGCGCGTCTCACTGTTCGGCAACTACAGTGTGGAAGAGTGTGCAATCCCTCTCGAAAGGACCAGTACCAGAGCCAAAGGTATACGTCGAGGCGAGACAGACTATATCTAGTCAGAACTTCTCTGCCTCGCGCACCAGTTCAGGCTCCTTCCCTGCCATAGACGTGACATTCCATGTCCCTTGAGGTAGTTTTTGTAGCCGGGGAACGGACCGCCAAGTTCCCTGCCTTTTGCCGCCGCCCAGCTCACAGGGGACTCGACCCCTTTGGTCCCTCCCACAGGTGATGAGCCCCAGGCCTGGCTCCACGGATTGGGAGGGGGCTGTGACCAACATCCGGGCATGGGAAATCGAGGTCCAAATTTCATACTCATTATAAGGGGCCTATGAGCCATGCTGTGTCTGTTCCCTCACCTAGGACCTGTTTGCCATGGGTGACCCTGCCAGGGGGCAGACATCCCCAGACAACTCCTAAGATCTTTGGGACACACAAACCCCTCCACCACTGTAAGGTGACAGCCCATGGAGGGGTGTGTATGGACGGACAGACAGACAGACAGACATATAGATGGATAGATGTTATGATCCAAAATATTTTTATGAATTCTGTATAAACACACAAAAGGATGGAACAGTGGTACTGTTGCGTACTGGGAACCGTACCAGTACCAGTTTAAACGTGAAGGATACCTGTTCCAATTTGCAAGTACATCTAATTAAGTGGGTCCAAAGCACTCAAGTTGATTAATTCATTGTTGACTTGTTTAGCTGGAGATAATCATCCTACGATCTCCGCCGTACCGAGTGGTAGTGAGGAGCAACCGCATCCAACTCTTCACGCACGTTTTCTCTGAGAACATCCCAGCCTTTGGACGCACATATTTTCTGGGAGGAGTCCCCGAACACAATATGCCAGACAGGTCAAAAACACTCGCACTCTCTCTCTCTCACACACACACACACACACACACACACACACACACACACACACACACACACACACGCACACACGCACACATAAACACACACACACAAACAAAAGCCACCCTAAACCTAATTTAACCATAAGTAGACAAGATGAACATCATAGCGCGAGCTAGCTAGCTATATAGTGCCCTCGCAACCCTGGCCAAGTTGGGGTACTGTCACGTTGGAGTGCTGACACAGGACAAGAACCCCAGAATATTCACTTTTTTTTCCCCAGGCCTTATGTGTGTGTAAAGTTTAGTTTTGAAAGATAGTGCTTGTGGAGGCTCTCAGTCGTACAGGAAAGTTCCATCGTAGAAAGGGTTCCGTCAGTCGTCATCTGTACCTGTGGGTAAAAAAAACAAAAACGAAAAAGATAGATAATTTCATTTCGAGGGAAATTGGTTTGATTGCTTCCTAAAGTTTTTCAAACGTTTTCTACATGACCAGTGTTTGTTACAAGTGAAACGCAAAAAACAGTAGTTCCAGTGCCCCGGTCTCATACACACGTGCGAATACACTTAGTGCACGTGAACACATTTGTAATTCTGGTACGATGATATGTGGCGTCAACAAAAATTTTTTTTAAAAAACCTTTGTATTCTCTTTTGATTCTCTGTGTCAAATTCAGCAGATAATATTAGTAGTATGGCACTTAAATAGTATAGCTGTGGGTGATTAATGACGGGAATAAGTATTTACATACAAGTTGCAGGCGTGGTGTTTGGCTGCGAGCTCCTCATATGGTAAGGAGTCCGGATGAGTTTGACACTGAGTTTGTAAATGTGATTCAAAGTGAAAGAATAAATCCTCCAGCAAATATAATCCAAAACAGTCACCAACCATTCTGTTCGAGTCACTTTCCATAGTGACCACGCTAAAACCAACACGTACCAAACTCAAAAACCTTTATGTGGGACAACCACGGAGCTATCTTGTGAGCAGTTATCAACTTCCCGGAAATTGGCTAGCAAGGTAAAAGCTGATGATCACTGCAGTGCAGTGTGGTTACAGCTACGTACCGACAAAGTGTTGCCGCGTTATGTTCAAAATACCTGTGGCGGCTTAGCTTAACAAAGGACCTCCAACTAAAAGCTCATTTGAAACGGCCAGCCCGCCGTCTTTGAAATGGCCAGTCTCCGTGTGGCCGCCTATGTGTCCATATAAACACTGCATTTTGTCTTTGCATTTGGAAGGATCAATGTGTGCATTGATTCTATGCAAGTGAATGGAGCCCACACTGCATAAGCGAGTCTAGAATACTAGCTTGGTTTATTTTAAAATTGGGGACCTCATTTTTAGTTAGCAGACCACAAGAGGTGGGTTACCGTGGAAACAGATCTATCCTCAAAACACACAGTAGCAATCACAGAGATACACAGAAAAACATTGTCACGTTGATTTTCACATGACGTGCTTTAAAGTTTTTGTGTGTGTGTGTGTGTGTGTGTGTGTGTGTGTGTGTGTGTGTGTGTGTGTGTGTGTGTGTGTGTGTGTGTGTGGGGGGGGGGGGGTGTGTGTTGTTATGTCGTGGTGCAGGTTGCGGCCCTTGTTTCCCGAGCAGGGCTCTCTAAAGGGATGTTTCCGAAACGTCAAGGCCCAAAATTCCCACATCGACCTGAAGAGGATGAAAAGCTCTGGAGTCAGTTTTGGATGTGACAGTGACTTGCTGGTAGGAACACCAAAAACCTCCATCAACATGTATTTATTTCCTTTTGTGCGTACCCTCATTAGCGTGACGGCTGAGGTGGAGGTTGTCTGAGCTGGCTTTCGACAAGAAGCAGGGTACCATCTGGACTGGTCACCTGTTAGTCACAGGACACATAGACAAACAGCCATTACAGGACTGGAACTAGTTCAGGAAACTTATTGGCCAACTTAGCTTGTTGTGGCTAAATAATAGAAAAATCCCCAAGTCACACTTGAGTGCCGTTACCCCGGTGTTGCCACATGCGACGCACATGTGGGCACACGACAGAGACATCCATCCATCCATCCATCCATCCATCCATCCATCCATCCATTAATTTTCTTCCACGTATCCAAGGTCAGATCGTGGGGCCAGAAGCTTAAGCAAGGAAGCTCAGACTTCATTCTCCCCAGCCACTTTGTTCAACTCTTAGTATTATTACCAGGCCATTCGGGATTCATACTCTCTCCAGCATGTCCTGGGTCATCCCCGCGACCTTCTCTCGGTGTGACATGCCTCCCGGAATACCTCACCAGGAAGGCACCTAAGCCTTCCAAACCAAATTCCTGAGCCACCTCCGGCTCCTCTCGATGCAGAAGTGCAGCGGCTCGAGAGTCCCTCCTGAATCACTATGGGAGAGCCTGGATACCATATGGAGTAAAATTAATTCTTCCGCTTGTATCCGCGATCTTATTCTTTCAGTCACGAGCCATAGCTCGTGACCATAGGTGAGGGAAGGAAATTAGATTGACCGGTAAATGAAGGGGTTTGCATTTCAGCTCAGCCTCTTCTTCAACACAACAGATCAATATACAGTTCTCATCACTGCTGATGCGAGTAATGATCCGCCTGTCGATCTCCACCTCCATCTTCCCACTCATGAATAAGACTCCAAGATATTTAAACTACTCCACTTGAGCCAGGATCTCATCTCCAACCTGGGGACCATGGTCTCAGATTTACAGGTGCAGATTTTGATCCCCACTGCTTCAGACACTGCTGCTAACTGCTCCATTGAGAGTTGGCTTGATGAAGCCAAAAGTCGCATATCATCTGCAAAAAGCAGAAATGCAATACTTAAGCCACCACATCAAAACCCGTAAATGCTTTGGCTGCATCTAGAAATTCTGTCCATGAATGTTATGAACAGAATCACTGACCAAGGGCAGCCTTGGCGGAGTGCAACTCTCACTGGAAACAAATCCGACTTACTTCCGGCACCCTCAAAGAAGATGCCGAGGGGGTAGAGCTGGTCCAATGTTCCACGGCCAGGTCGAAAACCAAAATATTCGTTCTGAATAGACCTTACCAAGGAGGCTCAGTAGTCTGATGCCCTCTTATGCAGTTGGAACACACCCTCCGGGGGACTACCACCTTTGTCTGCCAATCCGGAGGCACTATCCCTGATGTTCACACAATGTTGTATGGGTGTGTCAACCAGGACAGCCCCACACCATCCAGATCCTGTAGGAATTCCGTGCGGATCTCATCCACTCTCATGGCCTTTACCATCCAGGAGGTTTTTTAAAACACTTCGCGGACTTCAATCAGGAGCGCTCACCTCAGAGTCCTTCACTCTGTTTTGTCAAGGAAGGTACAATTGAGGAGCTCTTCTCTCCACTGAGTCACAATCTCCGCTACACACAGTGTTAATGGTGTACCGCTTCCCCTTCCTGAGACGCCGAATGGTCGACCAGAATTATCTCAAAGCTGTCTGGAAGCTTTTTTCCATATCCTCACCGAACCCTTTCCACGCATGAGTTTTTGCCTCAGCCAAAGCTGAAGCTTTGGTTCCCTTAGCCAGTTGATATCCATCACCTTACTTCGGAGTCGCACAGCACAAAAAAATCCTCAATAATACTCCTTTTTATGCTTGAAGTCATACCTTACCGTTGGTGTCCACCAATGAGTTTGATGATTGTCGCCATGACAGGCAACGACCACCTTACTCGGCCGTCTTGACAATGGAGGCGCGGAACATGGTCGACTCTGATTCAATGTCTCCCTCCTCCCCCAGAATGTGGGGGAAATTTTGCCGGAATTGGGAGTTTAAACTCCTTCTGACAGAGCACTCTGCTAGACGTTCCCAGAAGACCCTTATAATGTTTGGGTCTGCCAGGTCGGACCGGCATCTTCCCCCACTTTCGGACCCAACACACCACCAGGTGGTGATGAGTTGACAGTTCTGCCTCTCTCTCCACCTAGGTGTCCAAGACAGGCGGCTGACCACAAAATTAATCAGCAAATTGTGGCCTAGGGTGACCTGGTTCCAAGTGCATGAATTGGCACCCTTATGTTTGAACATTGTTCATTAAGGACAATCTATGATAATGCTTGTCAGTGACATTGTCGGCAAATAATATCACTCTATCCATTTTCTAATCCGCTTATCCTCACGAGGGCCGCGGGCGTGCTGGAGCCCTACCCAGCTGTCTTCGAGCAGTAGTTGGGCTCCACCTTGAACTGTTTGCCAGGCAGGATTTGGCCTTTCTCCAACCCATCAGCAGCTCAATAGCCAATTAACTGTATTCCACCATCTTGATTTACTTGGCAATGAAATTAATTTTGATGTCAACATGTAAGTGAGATCTTATGAGTGATATTAAGTGATATTATGAGTGTTGTGACATTCATGAACGAGTCAATCTTTTGAACGGCTCTTTTGGAGGTATGATGAGAATTGATTTGCAGCTGTGAGGGGGCCGTTCGTTAAACACTTAAACACTGAGGCTAACTGAGTGGATATGCACAATCACATGTCAAGAACAACATCAGTGAAGAAGAAATATATGTTGTGTGCAGGTGGCTCGTGAGGCTCACTTCTCGGGTCAGAGCTACCTGGACCTGGCGCTGAGCAACGTTCCTGGACTCAGGAGCAACTTCTATGCCAGCTTCAGCTTTAGGACAGAGTACAAGGACGGACTCATGTTCTTCCATCACGACAAGGTGACGCGCGCTTCCCGTTTGTTGGTGCATGATTTGATGGACTTGCTAAACTGACTCTGTGTGTGTGTGTGTGTGTGTGTGTGTGTGTGTGTGTGTGTGTGTGTGTGTGTGTATGTGTGTGTGTGTGTGTGTGTGTGTGTGTGTGTGTGTGTGTGTGTGTATACATGTACATGCACGCCCATTTTATTATGCTTGGGCAGGACGGCATTTGCCAGGTGTTCCTGAATGAAGGTCACGTGGTGGTGAGAGCAGGCAACACCGAGGTGAAGACACAGAAGACGTACAACGACAACAACAGCCATTACGTGGCCATCTACAACAACATCAACAGGTATAGAGCTATTTGACATGAGACGGAGTTCACCTTCACCTACGTGTGCTAACGTCTACCAATGCCCTCCTCAGAGTGCGTGTTTATATGAATGACGTGCTGGAGAAGTCCAAGGAGGGGCTCTGGCTGGACACCAGGGGCCATGGTTTGGCCAGCTTGGAGGGGCGCACCTTCTTGGGGGGCACGCCCGATCAGGGCCTACGCAACCTGACAGGATGCATCAGCAATGTCTTCATCAGGAGGTGAGAGTGAAGCTTTGGCAAACTATGTACAAGAAAGGCATTGTAGGGACCCACAGTTGCAAAGAATCAGGAAGCTGCAGCATTTACACTACCACGACGAATGCCAATAATAATAAGGCTAAGAATAATAATATCAATATATGATGCAAAGGATAAAGCAATTAACGTGCTACAACATGATTTTGACTAACACAACATCCAGCTCAGGTTAAAAACCTGACATAAAGTTGTGACAAGGCAAAAGCATTTTGATGATGACGTAATAGCAGGGAAAGCACACCCCACCCAGATTATAATGTAGACACCATATTGAGTATATTGTTATTTCTACATATTATTTAAGACCCATTTTGGGGCTCAGCTCTAAAAGAAAATAAAACCGCCCATTAGCTGATTAGGGCACCGTGCAGGAGGTCATTTGTAGGATAATTTGCTCAGAAGCAAGTTTTCTATTGAACAGTATGCCTGTGCACTGTGCCAGACAATTGAGGTTCATTGTATCTTTACTTGACATCTTTCTTTACGCCTTTTTTGCTCCTCCTCTTTTCTTTTTTTCCTTCCCTATGCTCCGGACGGTTAATGTCTTCTTGACAGGTGGGCAATTCACCAGATTTTGCCAGTCCATAATTCCTCAAATTGAACAAATAACAATCTTGTGGTGCATCGTATGATTAGCATTTACAGTACTGTTGATACAGTTGTTCTAAATATCAATATTGTAATGTATCATTACGGCTAACAATAAAGTATCAATACAACTGGGCCACAATTAAAATTGTGAGGTACAGTATTGTCTTGTTATTGCTTATCCGTAAGATACTGTGGCAATGTTGTGATGTCTGACATCATTATTGCTTATGCGACAGTGCCGACACAATTGATTCAAATCCAGGTACTTGCTGTATCGCATCATTATCGCTTCTTAGTGCAGTGTGAATACAATTGCATCAAGCGTTAATGTTGTGATGTAATATTCACTCACACTCCAGTTTTGACACGACTTGATCAAATATCAATATTGGAAATGTTTTTCATCATTATCGCATGCGCAACAGTGTCGAAGACCGTATCGCTCGAACTGCAGTATAAAAAGAATAGTATAATGGCAAGGCAAGGATGTTTGACGTTGAGCAGGAATCACAAAAGCTGTTTAATGTGTTTGTCATCAGGGAGACCAGTCCTCAGATGGTGGTGAATCTGCTGAAGGTCAGAGAAAATGTCAATGTTCCTCTCAACTGTCCTGCCACCACAAAGCCTCAGCAGATTGTGTCCGTGCCACCCAAACACAACAGCAAGCCCAAGGTATGCACGCAGACATACCAGGTCCTGGTCCCAAATTATTTTTTTTCCACGTTCCTACTTTGCTATTTTATTGATAAGATGTAATAAGAAGATAAATATAAAACGAGAGTCTTGGTTGGGAAACACTGCTGCAGATGCATGCACACCCACAGCGCAGTATGTGTACACTTTTCAGGGAAAAAACAAGAAGCTGTCAGGGTCACGTAGTCGCAACACCAGGGAGTCGTGCCAGGACGTGCTGCTGGAGCAGGAATTGGGAGCAGTGCAATTTAGCGGCTCAGAGCTAAGCTACCAACGCTTCGACTCAGTTCCTGCTTCCCTGAGCATCAAGTGAGTGTTACCACTATGCAGATGGAAAAATAGTTCTGAGTGGTTTGTCGAAAAATTGTTTTGCGTGGTTTGTCAAAAACGAATCCGGTTTTGACTTGCTATGGATAGCGTGAAATCTACATGAGTTGAAGCTGTCGAAAGTAAGTGGTGCTTGGATCGATTGGCCATCAATTGGTTTCAGTGGATGTGATTGGTATAGAGGTTAGATCTTAAGCCCGAATTCGGGTCGGGTCGGGCTTCTCTCTCGCTGACTTTTTAAAAAAATAAATATATGTTTAGTGCACTGAGGCGTTTCGAGGCCGTGAATAGTTTTGGCCACGAGAGACCATGTTTCGCAAAAAAACAGAAGTCGCCTCATTACAACACGTACTGTACTAAACTCGTGCAATGACAATTCAAAGAACTCCTTCCTGTCTCTGTCTATTATCCACCCATCATTGTTTTTCTTTGTCTCTCTGCTTCTCTCAAAGTGCCGCACTAGATTGTTAAGGACGTACTGCTGTTGTGGTGTATGGCCCAATTTTCAACCTGTTAAAATGATGGATGGCCTTAAATTTTTCCCGTCAACGCTTAAAAAAAATCGGTCAATGATGGAAAATTGTCGGTTAATGTACCCTCTGCAGAAACAGAAATATAAAAGACGTAAATGTGTATACAGTCTTGTTTAACTTTAACTACTTTAACTTTAACTTTAACTCGTTTCAAAAGACAGGCTTTAATTTGTTATCATAGATCACCCCTCCTCCTCCCGAGTCCTCACAAATAAAATCTGAAATTTGGGGTTTGCCTGCAAATCAAGTTAATTGGTCGGGCTCGGGCCGGGACGGGTTTTAATACCCGCGGGACGGGTCGGGTCGGGTTGGATTTTTTTAGGCCCGATCTTACCTCTAGATTGGTATTTGTCGATCGATGCCTTTCATTGCCGATCACAAAAAAACGAACACCCGTAGCTCGTGCTTTGCAGCCTGCTTTTAACTCGACTACGCTGTGTGCAGTGTAGCGTCCCTTCCCCCAACTGCACATGTTGCTAATCAAACTGGTAACTGAATTAACAAAAAAATGTTATGTATATTATGAACTGTCAATCTGGGAAAAAAAATCCTGTTTTTGTTTAATAAAGGAATGGAATTTTTTTATCTGATTTATTACCAAGTACTTGAGCTGAGCGAAAAAAAAAAAATAACCACGTTATTGGCTGTTTTATATCACAATAGCAATATGGCATGATAGAGATATTTTCAGTTTTTCTATAGTTACATCATGACTGCTTTTCTCACTTCATTTTGAAGTGACATTAAACATCAAATCAAAAACGCATCCAGTCGTGCTGCTGTATAAAATCAATTAAATGTAAACAGAAGATTAACAGTGTCCTCCATATTTTTGCACAAAGTAGATGTCAATCTACATTAGAGATGTCTGTAAGAAATTGATTTAAAAAAAAAAAAAAAAGGATCTATTACAGAATAATCTTGAGAACATTTATGGTGCAGAAGTCAAAATCAAAACTCAGAACTGTAGTGAAAACAAATCACTTTAATGACACATGTATTCAATATCCTACATCCATTCATATATTTTCTGAAGATCTTATGCTCAATATTAATGTATTTTTTATCTTCGAGGCCAGTGGTCCCCAGGTATTGGTCCGCGGGCCACTTTGGACCAGGCCAAGCCACCGTGGGCCACACAGATGAAGGGAAAAAAAACTTACAGCATATCCGGTTTATTTCTTTTATTTTGAATAGTTACCGGATTCCTGACATCCGTCTATGACTGGTTCTTGACACGTCGTCTCGGTCACATAACGTGAATATTGAAATCACAAGCTAGCAAAGTGAGTAAAATAAAATAAAAATAAAATATTTGGAAAGTGTCTTTGCAATGGGAAAAAAGGCCAGTGAGGATTCAATGCAAGAGTCTGTGCCCAAGAAGAAAAAGAAAGTGTCATTTCAAAGACCAGACTAAAAGACCTACTGTATTTTCACGGCGTATCTTATTAAAAGGCGTAGAGTTGGTTGCAGGGGCTGTTTCTGTATTTAACACATTGAATTATTGGATACATTCAGGGAAACCTTCTTTCTCGCACATCAGCATCAAGCAATGCATCTTTCCGCAATACGTCTGCCAGTATGTCTGTATTTTTGTTTTTGTTTTGTTTTGTTTTATGACTACTGTACGGTATTTTGGGAAAACCAGCGAAGCACTGAAGCCGCAGAACATGAAGCTCTGAGTGGTGAGGGCGCATTGTATTTTCAAACGCCACTTTGAGAGGAGAGGCAATGCTCTCTGTACCCCAGTGTGCGGGGTCCTCCTGCACCTTTCAAACTCAAATTTTATTGGATTATATGCAAGAGTCTGCGCGAGTTGGTTTTGGACAAGAGGTAAATCTCCCTCGTTTTTAATCACCTCATTTGTGGAGAGCGACCCCTTTCAAATGATAAATTGGCAAAAGGAAAATGAGGAGCTCCTTACACTTCAGCAGGAATGGACAGATAGAATTTGCTTTTGTGGAGAGGTCAGGCGCGGCCCGACGGTCGACTGGTTAGCATGTCGGCCTCACAGTGCAGAGGTGCAGGGTTCGATTCTGGCATGTTCTCCCGTGCCTGCGTGGGTTTTCTCTGGGTACTCCAGTTTCCTTCCACATTCCAAAAACATGCAAGTCCGGCTGATTGAACACTCTAAATTGTCCCTACGTGTGAGTGTTAGCGCGGATGGTTGTTCGTCTTTGTGTGCCCTGCGATAGGCTGGCAACCGGTTCAGGGTGTACCCCGCCTACTGCCCGAAGACAGCTAGGATAGGCTGCAGCAGGCCCCGTGACCCTTGTGAGGATAAAGCGGATCAGAAAATGGATGGACGGATGGGTGGAGAGATCAGGTTCTGCAGAGTGTCTATTGTGCAATGATAAAATGTCATCGATGAATCGCTCGAATATGAAGCGACCCGCGCCACATTTGCATCAAAATCTCCAGTAGCGGAAGGCAGAAAGAAGGCTTGTCAAGAGCTACTGTCCAGGGGGGAAGCTAAGTCAGCAGCAACTCCATGTATGGACCCAACAAGGTGACTTTAGTTCCGCTAGCTTTGCTGGTTCTTTCGCAATTGTGAGGAACGGACAGTCATTCACAAATGGCAAATATGTCAAAACATTCATGCTTGATGTAGACAACGAAATTTTGACAACTTCTCGGCTAAAGACGATCAAATGAATAAATGCCATGCCTCTGTCAGCAAGAACTGTTCATGTTCACTCCATTATGATATCAAATCAAGTCGAGAAACAACAAATGGAGGACATAAATTCAGCAAGATATTTTTCTCGCTTTCGATAAGTCGACAGACGTGAACCTGAAAAACAACCTGCAGTCACATTAAACCGATGGAAGCCTCAACGTGAATGTTTTTGTGATGAAGCTGTACCTGACCACGTATCAACCAATCTGTAAATCCATCCGCAAAACCATGCATCTCAGAGGATTCGATTTTAAACGATGTGGGGTTTTTTGACTCTCGTGTGAAAAAGAAAGGTTCCCAACCCCTGCATTACACAATGTCAGAGCCATTCTGCTCCCCTGTATTTTTGCTCATTTTTGACAAAATGTGTCATGTAAAAAAACGCAACTTTGTCTTGCTTTTTAAATCTGTTAACAATGATCTGACATCTTAAGTTAGCCTACCAAGATTTACTGCTCAAGAGTTTGAATAATAATATTTCGTATGGTCTGAAGTGCTTGAATTTGATCAAATTCTCACATTTCACTGGGCTTGGTAAAGTCCTTAAAATCCTTCTTGGGGATAATTGTCTAACAAGTGAGGCATCTCAACACAAATAGTCATTTGCAGAGTCAGGCATTTACACCTGTCGTCACCTGTCCCTCACTACTGGGTCCACCACTGACTGACTCATGTTTTCGCGCTTGGACTCAAGACTCAGAGTAACTTTGAAACTATGACGAACTAAGCCTCTGCCAGAAGTGATTTTTGGCTTGACTGTTAGCACGTCTACCTGATAGTGCAGAGGTGCAGGGTTTGATTCCAGGCCCTGGGCTTCCTGTGTGGAATTTGCATGTTCTCCAGTGCCTGCATGGGTTTTCTCCGGGTACTCCAGTTTCCTCCTTCATTCCAAAAACATGCATGGCAAGCAAAAACACTCAAAATTGCAGATAGGTGTGATTTTGAGTGCAAATGGTTGTTCATCTATTTGTGTCCTGCGATTGGCTGGTAACCGGTTCAGGGTGCCCGAGTATGGCTGGGATAGGCTCCAGCACACCCGCGACCCTCGTGAGGATCAAGTGGTTCAGATAATAGATGGATGGATGACAGTTTGAGCAGATCTGAGGTATTTGATGAGTTTGTTCCACAGGTAGGGAGAAAAGCAATTAAATACTGCTTCACTTTGTTTGATTCTGGTTCTGGGAACACACAACAGACCTGTCCCAGATAACCTTGAGTGGTCTGGGATTTCAATGGTACTACGACCTTTTACATGTATTTTGGTCCAAGATCATTTCGATTTTTTTCTTGGTTCTCTTCTGCTCATTTGTTTTAAGCTGAGGATTTAGTTTTATGTTCGCCCAAGTTTATGTACTGAAAAATGTTGCAACATTATTATTAAACAAATCAACATCTACTGTATTATCACATAAACACATTGATAATTGGCACCAGTAACGATTCCCCAGGTACCGGGAATCAAACATTTCAGGCACAGAGAATTTGATCACTTCAAGGCATGGCCTCATTTTATATACTTGATGATTTTTTTATCATTCTAATTTGCCAGGGTTATTTACCTGAATTCTCATTTGAAATGATGTCCAACTTCAAATTATAGATCAGCCTTCATGCTTACTTTACTCAGGTACTCAGCATGTTCGCATCATTTCTCCACGGTGCAAGATGTGAAATGCTCATTGGGTCTGCCTTTGTTTGTTTGCACTTTTTGTTCTTAGATTCCCATCTTGCTGTGTTAGTCCACTGCCTGTTGGCATGTTAGCATTCTACCGATCTCTGTTGGTTTTAGTAAAGAGTTTTGCAAATGAACTACATGAGTCAGTGCAGGCTGTCAGCATCACTTTGTCATTTATTTTGTTTTTGTTTAAAATAGAAAGCCTGACTCCGAACTGTATTTCAAATGCTGCTGTTCAAATCATTTGACATGTCAATAAGAGGTGCTCTCTGCGCAGGCCTCACATCTCACTTACCGTAAAGATCAACTCATCGGAAGGTTTGATCCTCTACACGTCGGGCGGCGTCCTGTCGCTGGCCGTGTCGGAGGGTCATTTGGTGCTGTCTCTGGGAAGGAAGAGGAAGGTTGGCCTGCGCAGCCGCGCCAAGATGGACGACCATCAATGGCACACGGTGAGTGAGTCAAGCAAGCGCTGACGTGGTCGGATGAAAGCTAAGATGGCGACTCGGCTCTGTCCTCAGGTGTTCATTAAGCGTGACGCGGATAAAGTCAGTATGATCGTGGATGGGATCAGCGCTCAGTCCAGGAAGATTCCTGCAGGAGAGCGCACGCGTATCAGTGCTCCGTTATTTGTGGGAGGAATGCCACAGCAATCTCCAATGTCTGACGCCCACTCTGGCTTTACTGGCTGTGTCCGTGACCTAACGCTGAACGAGAGCCCCGCGGGAAGTCCCTCCCACAGCCAAGGCGTGGTCCCTTGCTTCCAGAAGCCTGTGCAGCCCGGTGCCTTCTTCACAGGAGAGGGAGGACATGTAGTTGTCGGTGAGCAACTGTTTTGTCACCGCTGTTTCTTGCATTATCGTGTGATGATGATGATGTGAGACTCCTGTACTTCCTGCAGGTGAACTGCTAGTCCTGGGTGGCGACCTGGAGGTCAGACTGCAAGTGCGTCCGGTGTCCGACTCTGGGCTGTTGTTACAGGCTGGGACGATGTCTGGCCAGCATCTGACATTGACGCTGCGCAGAGGAGAGGTGACACAGTGGGAGGGGCATTCATTACATCTTCGATCTCATCCCTGTGTCATGACAACAAACACAAGAGCCACTTTTGCATTGTACCGTCTCCACCCCAAAACAGCCTGGTTACACCCTACGGTCGCTTTTCCATTACACTTTTTGAAGACTGTGCGGTTGCCATGGATTAATTCTTGGTAACCTGGTTCTAGAATGTAGGTCAAGGTGGGCTGTGACGTCACTGTCATCTGATTGACCGACAGATGTAGGCAATACAGCAAGGAACTCTACTTCACACACCCATTTCCTGGTTTTAAGCGAGCGCACTTGAGTGACTCAGTGCAAGCTATCCATTCAAGTGAATGAGAGTGATCTCTCATTCATTTGAATGGACCCGGCAAGGTGCACGCTGCTCGAAAAAATGTTTATCACAAGGTTCACTATTCTCTCCATTGGTACAGATGAAATTATAAATATGGTTGAATGTTCATGTAAAATGCATCACGTGTGTACTGTATGCACTGTATTTTTGTCTTGGCGGCGCCCCGCTATCTCTTGCTGGTTGAAATCTGGAAATTGATTTTTCATCTGTGTGCATTTGAAGAGCTGTAATTTGTGATGTTGCCATACAATGCAACTGCAATTATTATTTTTAATCGGCGCAAAACAAGTGTCCAGGACACGTGAAATCTTATGGCAGAACCCCACACACTGAGAGTGTGCAATGGTGGCTCGCACAGTTCAGTTGATCCCGCACCAATTGATTGGTTCTTGCTCTAATGAAGAACCAATGGAGGCCAGGCAGAGCGGGGCCAGGCCGTTCAAGAACCTATAATGGGAACATTGCCTTTGGTGTTCTGTGTTTAGGTGACGCTCTCTATGAACAGCGGCAAAGGTGATGTCTTCTTGTCGTTGGCACCAGAAGAGGCACTCTGCAACGGACGCTGGCACACCATCGCAGGTGAGTGACAAGACCAAAATACCCTCCACCACCACACTCCTTTGGATGGCTCATGCCGCTCTTTTGGTCTCTAGTGGTGAAGAAGAAAAACGTCCTGCAGCTCCATGTGGATGCAGACAGTCAACGTGGTGCCGGACCCAAACGTGGCCGTTCAGCAGTGGCCAGAGAAGTGGTTTACCTCGGAGGAGTTCCTGGTTAGTGCTGTACAGTGTCCCCTGTTAATCAATCAAACATGTTGTCAATATGGTCAACATGGAAACAAATCTTCTCCTCCAAGCTTAAACTGTCATCAAGATCGTCTTCAGTGTTCATAATAAAATGCTCTCCTCATCCTGTCCACCAGATGGCGGTACTGCAACACCAGGCCTGCCCGCCTTCCACGGCTGCATCCGTCATGTGACCGTCAATGGTCGCCCCTCTCCATTCAACAAAGCTCTGTCCGTTCGGGGCGAAGTGGGGACACACGGCTGCCCTATTGATTAGCACAAACACACGTGTTTATGCATTCTTAGGTTCACATTCCATGGGTGCAAATGGTGGTGGGTGGCGTTTGACGAATTAATTTATATCTATTAGAATATTTATTGTCTGTTTTGTATTTGATATCTCCAGGGTGCTCCAAAGTGTGCGTGCACTTGCATTTACACTACAATCACTTTCACCTGCACACTGAAATGATCTTAGCATATATGATATCAATGCAACGTATCATTGCAATTCACAGATACCTCGTACATACTTGATGTTCTTGTGATATCATTGCCGTATTCGACAGACTACATCTCGACACTACTTTTAGCTGGAATTGGGCAGGATCACATGATGTGAGCATGTGCGGTGCGTTAAACTTTCATGTATTCACTTTTGTTTCATGTTATGCTCTCCTAACCACGTTCACCTTTTGTTTTTGCATGTACTTTGGAATTAAATTTGTAAAACAAAAAAAAATCACGCTTTCTTTATTTCTTTATGTAAAGAAAACACTAAATATGTTTGATAAGATAAGATATCCTTTATTTGTCCCACAATGGGGAAAGGATGCTAACTAAGCTTTTAGCTTAGTTATCATCCTCCTGTTGCCCACCTCCTCCAGAGTGTCTAGGGAGCAGCCCAGGACAGAACTGGGCTTCCTGACCAGTCGCTCCAGCCTCTTTCTGTCCCGGGCCGAGATGCTGCCTGACCAGCAGACAATGCCATAATGGATGGCCGAGGCCGCCACCGAGTTATAGAAAGTCTTAAGGAGTGACCCCTGAACCCCAAAAGACCTCAGTTTCCTGAGTAGGAAGAGTCGGCTCTGTCCTTTCCTAATCAGGGTGTCCGTGTTTGTAGACCAGTCCAGTTAGTTTGTTGTTTAGAAGAACACCTAGGTACTTGTAGGACGCCAGCCTCTCTATGTCCATAACCTGGATGTTCATCGGTGCTGGTGAGGACTGTTTCCTGCAGAAATCCACAACCAACTCCTTAGTTTAAGAACAACAACAACATAAGAACAAGAGTAGGTGTATCAAGTAAAGTTTCTTTTTTTTCAGACAAAAGTTCTTCGAAGGAAAGAGCAAATTGAACACCATATCGAATGTAACACCACACCACAGACACAAATGTGACGTGAGGGTCTGCTGGGAACATCTCGCAGAATCCCCTATCAGAAAGAGTTTCAACTCCCACCTCCTCCTGTTAGGCTTCGTGGGAAAAAGAGCACAGGAACCACATGCAGACACAATTAACTCAGAAGGATTTATTAACTAGGACTCGGAGTGGGATAGGTCAAGGTGGCAGGAATGGACTAGTAGAACAAAAAAAAAAAAGACCAATTCAAGGAGAGCAGGGCGCAGGGGCGTAACGGCTGGCAGGAGCGAGTGCGGCAGGAAGGAATCGCTGACGAACTGGCAACGGGTGGCTGTTCAGGCTGGCTTTTATGCTGTAAGTGGCTGATGAGCAGAAGACTCGCAGGTGAGTAAGGAGGCAGGTGCACCAATTAGCGAGACGCCCAGTCCACACTGAAAGAACAACAAAAAGGGGGGGGGGGGCGACACCGTGGACAAACAATGCATCCTAACACCTCCAGAACATCACCTACATCCCATGGGAGTCGGGGGACATTGAGTGGTCCCCCATGGGAGTCGGGGGACCATGCTCCACGCCTCCATTGTTGAAAAGGCCAACCAGAGCTGTGGCCATAAGGTGGTCAGTGCCTGTCAGGACAGAAGCCCTCAAATCCATTGGTTGACACGAGCAGTGACTGATGTCGTCAAGCTGAAGGAGTCCTATTGGTTCTTTTTGGACCATGGGACTCCAAAGGCAGCTAAGGTCGACCAACTGGCCAAGTAGAACTGAGCTTTGGTCTTTGCTGAGGCCAAAACTTGAATATGGGAGGAGTTTATGGAGAATGACTTCCGGACGACTTTGAGAAAATTCTGGTCCACCAACCGGCATCTCGAGAGGGGGAATCAGTGCGCCATCAAAATTGTGTAAATTGGGGATGGGGGGGCTGCTGACCTCACGCCAAGAGGTTGTGATTCCATGGAGAGAGTACTTCAAAGACCTCAACTCCACCAACACGTCTTCCTCTGAGGAAGCAGGGTCTGAGGACTCTGAGTTGGGCTCTCCTATCTCTGTGGTTGAAGTCACCGATGTGGTTAAAAAAGTCCTCGGTGGCAAGGCCCTGGGGTGGATGAGATTCGTCCGTAGTTGCTCAAGGGTATGGATGTGGAGGTGCTGTCCTGGTTGACACACCTCTGCAACATGGGGTGGTCATCGGGGAGAGTGCCTCTGGTTTGACAGAGGAGGGTGGTGGTCCCTCTTTTTAAAAAGGGGACCAGAAAGCATGTTCATACTACAGAGGGTTTACACACCTCAGCCTCCCTGGTAAGGTCTATTCAGGGGTGCTGGAGAGGATGGTCCGTCGGGAAGTTGAGCCTCAGATTCAGGAGGAGCAGTGTGGTTTTGGTCCCAGCCATGGAACCGTGGACCAGCTCTACACCCTCAGCAGGGTCCTAGAGGGTACATGGGAGCTGGTCCCAACCAGTCGAAATGTGCTTTGTGGACTTGGAGAATGCATTTAACCGTGTCCCTCCGTGGTGGGTGTTTCAGGAGTATAGGAAAGAATTTGTAGTCGAGGCGTTGAGGGGGTCCAGTTTGGTGGCCTCAATATAGCATCTCTGATAATGTGCTTTTGGCTTATTCAAAGCGGGATCTCCAATTCTCACTGGAGCAGTTCGCGTCCAAGTGTGAAGCGGTTGGGATGAAAATCAGCACAAGCAGGGAGTCCCCATCTATATGTTATGTGGTTTTGGAGGCCTAATTATGTATTACCATGAAGTTACTGAGCATTAATGACAGTAATCAGAACAAAATAATCCTCAAAAATACCAGAAAGGACATTTTTATCAAATAAGAGTTGTATTATAAGCAGGGACTTTCCATCTTTCCATCATTTGGAGGCCTAATAATGTACTGCTATGATGTTATTGAGTAATAATAACAACATTAAAAAGTCTGGAAAATACAGAACAGGACATTTTCATGAAATCAGGGATGAGGTATAAGCTGGTAGTTTCCATCTATACGTGATGTGGTTTTGAAGGCCTAATAATCCATCACCATGAAGTTGTTGAGCAGTAATAACAGTAATAACAACAAAAACTATTCTCAAATACAGAAAAGGACATTTTCATACTGTAAGAGTTGTACTGCAAGCAGTTAGTCCCATCTTTATGTGATGTTGTTTTGCAGGCCTAATTATGTACTACCATGACGTTATTGAACAGTAATAACTACAAACATGTCTCAGAAATACAGGAAATTGTGTTTTCTCCAAACAAAAGTTGTAGTACAAGCAGGCAGTCCCCATCTATATTTGATGTGAATTTGGAAACATGAAGATGTCTAATCATAAAAAAAAAAGCGAGAGACCGACAAAGTACAAACAGAAATTGCTGGCGACAAACAGGCAGGAAAACCAATCAAAAGCAAAAATCACTTGCAACCAGCAAGGAAAATTTGACGACTGAAAATCCACAAAAATGAAATGACCAAAGTTCAAATACACCAACAGAACACTTGTCTAAATTAACTTGGTGAAAAGGACACTTACTAAACAAAGAGCACTAGAGACAAAAGAAACTAGGAGCGAGAGCAAGAGTCCTAGAAATGGCACTTGGACATAAACAGCGATCAAGGTCAATAATCTGACAAGGAGGTATGAAGTCATAAGGGGTGTTCACACGGCACACATTTGATCCGGCGCTGCACCGATGTATTTTGTTGCGATATAGTTTACACCGGAGCAAATTTTGTGGAGCGTTCACACGTACAAAGCTGCTGAGCGTGGCAGCACCGGCACAGCGTCGGTGCAGCTCCACTTGGGTTCACACGACAGTTTCTGCAGCAGAGCAAAACGACAGAAAACAAATGAGCTGTCGTGTTGGTTCTTTTTTAAACGTATACACAACTCAAGCAACTACAGTACAGGCACGTCCTTCTCCTTCTCGGTCTCCGTGC